CAGTTCTGAGTGACCTAGATCGCTTCAGATAATCAGGAAAAGCATCCGGTGGCAACAAGTACTTCTGGTTTATTGGACGGTTATTCGGGTACTGCAATGTTTTCTCTCTCGTATGCTCAAAGCTTATTTTGCTCAAGTGGAATACGCAGCTAAAGCATGGTAGCCATTACAAGAACATAATCTCACGGTTTTGGAGTTTCATAAGCGTCGAGTCAACAAATAGATTAGTAAAAAATCCCATCCTCCTTATAAGTAAAGGCTGGAATTCTTGAGAGTTCAGCAGACGATATCGCTGGTTACGGGGCGGTCTGACTGTGGATGATCTGAATTGACATTATCTAAATCATGTTTGCTGGGATGCCACTTCCTGGAACAGAGAGAAGAGAATCGGCGCTTAGAACGCCACAGAAATTACTTTCCCGTGTTCGTTTGGTAACTATGAAACACACCCCCGGATGAGTCATTTCAGTGTCCGTAACAGCCGCAACTAACAGGTTGTCGGAAAATGCACTCCGCAACACAGCAGTATACCTTCGCTCAATATCCAGCCCCGAAGCATTGGCTTTACTAGCCAGCGCTTAATGGCGTTGCAAAATAAGATTGGGATCAGCAGCCATGCCTCACACACATGCGAGTAGGCGACTTCGCTGACGATTTTTCGAAGTAATCACTGTGCGCCTGCATTGCGACACACCATCTTAATTTAGGCAACGGCTGATTTTGAAGTGAACCTCGACAATTCCAATCACCGAAATCGTGTCCGAAGTGAAGAGTTTCTGTGTCACTCTTCAAACACTACACTATACGACCGGTCTCGTCCTTAGATGGGATCAGGAGGTAAATATATCCAGAGCTGGAAATGAAATTTTAGACATAGCTATTAATGACTGACGCCTTCAAGATTAGACTATCCAACTTCGCTAGTAGCGCTTGACACAGCAGTAAGAATATCATTGGGACAGTGGTGCTTGATAGTCTAACAAAGGCGTTAGCCGTCAACAATAAAGTGCCGGATCGCAACTCAGCTCAGTCTCTCTACTTGAAGAATCTAGAAAAGGAGAGACCGGTCGTGGAGGGAAAAGCACCAAAACTGTTCAAATGCAGTTGCCCTCCTGCCGGCAAATTTGTCAGTTTAATCCTTTTTCTATGCTCATGAGAACTCCGAAAGAGATTTGTAAAGTACAGGCGTTTTCACTCGTAATGAATCAGTTCAGCATCCCCTATGTCAGTGTAGTACGTAGGCGAGTCGTTTCTACTCCCTACCAATCAGTATTAACTGAGATGATCAGATAACGAACGTGATTCCGTCAGTCACATCAAATAACTATAAGGTGAAGGAATGGAGGTGATATTCGACGTCCCCCAAGCTTGTCCACTCCGGGTTGTGATAAACGATTAAAGTGCCAGAAGAGTCGGTGGAGAAGAAACATAGCACCTGCAAATGACACACGTGCCTATGCAGCACAGTTGTGACTTACAGAGTAAAAGATGAAACTGCCTTAAAATCAAGTGTGCACCTTAGAGCGGGAAGTGAAAGCAGTTGACAGAAAGGTGAGAAGTGAAGAATGGAAGCCGATTAAAAAGCCCCTTTATCTCGCAAAACAAGACCACGAAGTGTTACGGCCGGTACAATAAGGCCGGAGTGGTAGGGTGAAGTAGGTACGCCTAACAGTAGGTGAACACAGCTTGGTATGTGTGAATGGGCAAATGTTGGGCAACTTCTAGCCGGAGGTAGAGTGCGATGGAGTCGGTGATCAGTTCACACTGGCAGTGAGATGCGAACACATGCGTCAGCGCTGCCTCAACAAGCATAAGGAAATCATGTAAACAACAGGAAGCTCACAACAGCGCTAGGCACACTTGAACCCTGTGTAGACAGTAGATCGATTCGGAAACGTGAATACAAATACACAGCATCGGGCATGATAACATGATTATAAGGTCAGTAAGCAAGCTTATTGGTTGCCATTGACTGAACATCCTCCTTCCCAGGTGTTCAGTTATGCACTAGCCCACATCTAGTGGGACCGAACCGGTAAGTGAAGACCGCCGTCCAAGGTAAGTAGCCGGATAGGTATAGGATAAACTTGACAAGGCAGGATACACTAATCGATTGAGCGCTAGTAGCCGTAATCACTTTGTGTGACTGATGGCAGTCCAAGTATAAATTTTAAGACAAAAATCGTCAGATAAGCCACTTCGTTTCATGTGCGTCTATGAGTCCTTGAGTAAGCAACCTAACTCATGTGTGGATCCGTGGTTTAGAGTGATTCAGGTGTTTGACATGCAGCATCTTCATAACAAATTCGAGTCAAAGCTAATGCGTAGGTTTGAGTACCTGCGCTAACAGCCTAAGTACGATCGCAGTTGCATGGTATCTGCATGAAGTACTGATGCATTGCTCATACTTTACATACAATTTCTACTCATGATAGTGTATGCATCAATTCACCATGCTGGTCTCGCATCCTCGACGCGTGGACAGCGTGGCTATAGGTCGACAAGGCAAGAGCTTCATCTCGTCGATTCAGTCAAGTTGTATGTGAATAACCGAATTGTATCTGACGTTCGTGCTGGAGTGATAGGTCGTGTCTGATTAAATCACAGGTGAATGTTGGCTAGCCACCACCCATTCAATGATGTTACCCTGGTTGCCTGCTTCAAGACTGCTGCTCGTTGAGACGAGAGACGAGGCGCACAATCACGTGGCAGTGGAAAGTGCAACGAAAGATAGCCCAGTCATCAATTAATGCACATCTGACACGCACAGTCACTCAAACGCAAAATTAGGGAGATAGGCATTGTTGAAATGCTAGCTGGTTCCAAGTCAATCGTGGCTCCCATCCGCATACTTCTCAAGTGTACATTGAATAGGTGGTGTATGAATGGGGATTTGGGTGACGCAGCGCAAATGATACATTTCCTCTCTATGAAAATATGTCCCGTAGCTTTTCACACTTCGAACAACAGGAGAATCCAGAAACGGGCATCACCAGACAAACAGCAAGTGACGCGTGTCAGAGAAACTAAAATTGTCCGTATTCTGTGCCTGGCTTAGTGCTGTTCCATATAGGCCCCAAGTAAGATTGATGCAGGCGGACAGAACATGCCACGGTATTTAGCAAGTAGTAAACAAATCGAAGCTGCATTAAAACAGTCGTTCAAATACCTGACAGGTGAATTAATAGAAACGGTTAGTGTAAACAAGGTAGAAAGTGGAGACAATGGACGGATGGGAGAGGTGGCAACTCGGTAAGCAAACGCTGGGAGGAAGTGAAGCGAAAGCAAGATTAGGAGTGATGTTTAAATTAGTGGAATCGGCCATTGTGAAACATGTGCTCCATGAGGTAAATGGAAGCCAGTTCAAGGTATCGAGACGAGGTGTATTGTGGACGAAGAAATCGACATACATGGAGAGGAAAACAAGCTGTTGGAAAACCAATCATTTTGAAATCTAAACGGACACATATATGAAGCAAAAAGTCACCGTCATCTGAGCTATAAAAAAGGTAGGTTCGACTAAATCTCACCTGAATTGCCTTATTGCAGGTAAGCCTGGGGTGTAGCAGAAACATGCACTCCAACAAATAAGAACATGCTCAAAAAAATCTCCGGTGAAAAATCAACTGGAGTACTTATCGTGACGAAAAATCTCACAGATATCGGAACGAAGCCTTTGCTCTAACATGCCCGTGCGAAACGCATGATGTGTGTGAATCGCCATCTAAGTATGACATAAGGTTGCCGGGCCTATACTGAAGGTGCACGCACGAAGTCAATCACATAGCAAGCAAAGTGTAAGGAAATCAAACATACACGGTGCCCCTACAAATGGATAAGTAATTAATTCAATTAGGAGCACTGGTAGCGCTTCGAGGACAGCAGCGTGAGTTAGAACCATGCCTTTATCCATCAGCCAGAAGTGAAAATGGGCGTCAAGGTTTAGTCCCAAGAAGTAAAGCGTGGCACAGTACATGTAAGGGGGTTCGCTTGAATACATTAGTGGTAGTCATCAACAAAGCGTAAAGGTGTGTCGGAGAAATTCTCAGACTGGTGCCACAAACATTTTCTTCAAACTCAAACTACAAACTGAGTTTTCCAACCCAGATGATCCCTCTGGAGCCTAACGCACTTCCCCGTCTTTCTCTGCCACGCTTGGATGCTCTCCTGGAAAGATGTTTACGGGGACTTCTGAAGCTTCGTCGTCGTAGCCTTTCTGATATTGTCCACGTCTTAACAACGGGTCCGCTTGAGCTTGGGGAAAAGAAGCAATTCAAACAGAGCCAGGTTTCGTGAGCATGGAGGTTGCTCCAGCACGGCGGTGTTTTTCTCGACCAGGAACTGTCGGATGCCCAGGACATTCTGAGCAGGAACGTTGTCATAGTGAAGTCACAACTCCCGCCTCTTATCATGCAATGGTCGAAGTTAACGTTGCAGCATTTCTTTGTAGACATGTTGGTTGATCGTATGGCTCTGTGAAAAGAACTCATAGTGGACCATCTTTCTTACATCGAGAAAGGCGAACAACATGAATTTTACTTTGGTCCTCGACTGTCGTGCTTCCTTCAGCCTTGGAGACGTCAGACCCTTCCACTGAAAGCTCTGGCGCTTGGTCTCAGGGGAGAGAACATCGCCGTGCTGGGACAACCTCCATACACACTAGACTTGGCTGCTTTCGACTTTATCCTATTCGCCAAACTTAAGAGGACCCGCCGTTAAGACGTGGACAACATCAAAAACGTCATGAGGACGAAAATACAAAGGTTCCAAGAATCGTTCAAGGGGAGTACGCAAGTGGGGCAGAAAAGAAAGGGATGTCTGAAGATAAGAACACTGAGTGTTAAGTTTGGGTTTAAAACGAAGTTTTGAAGGCACCAGTCATGGAACTTCTCTGACACACCACCACGTGCGTCACACCGCGGAAAAATGTCGGACAATCGTGCTAAATGAGATGTTTAAGAAGAGTAAATGTCAACCCATATAAGCCAATGTTAAATTACCGAATCGACATGGATGTAGTAATAGTGACGGGTATGGTACAACAGGCGAAAGAGGCGTCGCAGTTGATGCCAGCCACGTCCGTGCCACATAAGGAGATAAACAATGCGAGGGGGCTCGGTCTCAGGCGGTCTTCGTGCAATCCGTATGGGAGCTAGGAAATAAAGAGGGTAACAGCAACAACTATCCAGCTTGGAAAGCATAACAGTAAAAGGCCCTAAACGTTAAAATTTGAAAATAGAGGAGGAAGAAAGTACAAGTTTACGTTTCGAAGCACAAGGTTCATCAGAAATCCTGAGTGCTTACAGGCGCTATCAGCATGTCCAAAGACGAATTCTTTCGATTTGGGTGACTGCATATACCACAAGCAGAACAAGAGTTCGTACTACAAGCTGCTAATACGAATCCGATTAATGATAACCCTAGGTCAAAGCATCTGCCACCCGAAGTGCCAGCTCCATCTACCAAGTAGGCTGCGTGAATAAAACCAAAAGGACAAACAGAAAATGTAAACAAGCTGTAGTCAAGAATTTCTCTGTAAAAAGCAAGCAAAACAAAAGTGGACCGGTCTTCGGACAAGCGCCTACGTACGCAGTTCATCGACGTAAAGAGGTTGGGAAGATCATGACCTGGTCCTAGGTCAAATCACCGAGTGTCTGCAGACAGTGACACTGCGAACTCATGGGACGCATGTTAGCTTTGTGCGTACTAAATCCCTGAGAACTACGACACCACTGCAACAGTCAGCAGACCATGCCAAATTATGGGGAGCAAACAAAAGAGTCAGTGGGTTGGAAAATACGGACAGCTGGAAACAAGTTTATTTGAAAGGGGGTACCATTCAGCTGAAAGATATCCCAGAGAGAACACGGATCCTCTGAAGGTAATCAGAAACAGTCTTGTTAATCCCCTGAAATTGTAAATAGAAGGTGTGTTGTATCGCCATCTGCTTTGATACTGTGCCTTTAGTCAGAACAAAAATTTGGCTTGTGGACTGTGCCGCACAAGGACAAGTGGCGGATCAAATTGAGATAGACGAGCCCCGAGGGACTTGACGACCAACGGTTCTTCCTCACTGTACCGAGATGAACACGGTCACCGCACGACTACTAGTGGCCCCAACGTAGAGAAGACAATTTCCTTCAGCAAAGCGTTTGCTGTGCAAGCGAAGATCGAGCACGGTTTTTACAGCCTGGTATGTACAGCACGGGTTTTCATCGGTATCGCGGTGCGAAGGTGCGGCGTAATTATCACTTGGTAATGGGGAGTAAGTAAGCAGAGTGACGCAATAATCACTAGGGTGGTCACACAGTCGGTGACCTGGTAAAAATGTATCTCGGGTATGGCAGAGCCACTTGCGAACTGATAATGTCGTCGTCGACACTTGCCAGCTGAGAACGTTGCCACCACCGATAAGGCATTGCGTAACGGTTACCATTGAAACATCGGACCGCGTGAAGTTTTGTGGAACGACGAGATCTTCATAACAGTGTGATAACTTAGATCCACAGAAAGAAGACGACTCTACGTAGAGATAACGTAAAATTTGAACTTGATACACACATAAGGTGAATTTGAGCTAACTAAGCGCTTAATGCATTTCTAAAAACAATAAATTAGAAGGCGGACAACTGAGCTACCGTTTCTGAACGTGAAGCACTAGTGAGAGCTGTCTAGTCAAATGCATGGGAGATAAATGACAAGAAATGGTGTAATAATTGAGCACAGGCTGATCGTTAAAGAAGCCACACCTGGGGCGATGCGAACAATCGGAGTGGCTCCAGTAACAATTACGAATACCGAGACAGTCTCGTTACATTTTGGGTTGTGTGAATCTTCGGCAGGCATGGATATCAATTCACATACGGTCGAACAGGACTGTTCAGACGTGCGACTTTCTGAAACCAACCGACGTTGACTGCAGGCGCAACCAAGTCCGGCAGTGGTGAACGCGTAACGCGCTCCGGTTTGTTGGCAAAACTGGATGCAATATGGCATAGGCAAACGATTCTGTAAAAGTACAGCCAATAGGTGCTGTAGGGCGACGTGATAGCAACCAAGATGGACAACTTTGTATGCCGGTGCTAGAAAAAAAAGAAAAACGGAAGTGATAAGTCAAGAAATGGATAGGAGAAACTAAAGCATTCTATCAAATTCATCCAAGTAGAAAACGCTGAATAAGAAGTTTGTATTCGTGTAATATGGTGCCAATTTTGATTTCTACCTCGACTATGCCACCTGACGTAGCAGGTTTGAGTGATCTAAATCATGTGAATGACACTGTCTCGTTGTTAGACAATCGCGACACCGTCAAACGCCTTCGAGACACAAAGTGTTGCTGTGAAGCACCAGCCGTTTGGTAGGTACCAAGACACTTGAAGAAGAGGAAACGGAAGTGTACAATTCACCTATTCTGACAGCCGCACTGTCAAGACGAGTGAGTGACAAAGTTACCATGGGCAGTGCGAAAGCCAAGAATGTTTTCTGGAAGCTGCGATACATTTTGTACCACAAGAGGTGTTCACCTGGTTCTGGACTACAAGACAAGGCAACAGTGAGTGCGATACATTTTTACGGCAATGAAACCTGATTTCTCCGGTCTAAAAACGTCATGCGCCCTCAGATCTCCGAATGTCGCTGTCCGCGGGGCGTTGGTCGCGTTGAATAGCATCGAAGTGTCCGTACGGAGAAGGTGCGTATGTGAGCCCAAGGTAGTGTTGTAAGGTCACAGCATCAAACTGAACAGGTTGCGTCGTTGTATACAGATGATACGTATGAATATTCACTGTTTATCAAAAGTCCACCTTCTTTCCCTCTTATTATTCTTTATTGCATAGGTCACCATGGTTGTATGGCAGCGAAGCATCACTTCAAGTGGTTGATGCACTGCTGTTGTCGACTGGTTGATTGAACGGTAAGACAAAACGTGGACGATGTGTGGGTGCCGAACGCATTACTCAACGTATGACAAAAAGTAGAAACTACGCCCCGTAGAATGAGAACTGAAATTCCATTGAAATGAGTTGTGGAAAACTGACAAAACCTTATTGCAGCTATCCAGGATAAATACTGTCTGCCGTACCAGACAAGTGGTGATCAGAGCTCCAAGTGTTGCAGCTAAAGATGTGGTGAGTGATCGATCCAAAGCCAACAACTATAGGTTCGGAGCTGGAAAGGAGCGGCACATAACTACCAAGCAACGATGAGCAAAACCAACGACGCACAGCCAAAATAATTCAGATTATCGAAGAGGACGAAGCCGATCAAACAAAGGGCAGGACGTACTTCTGTGTGGACATTCCGACGTCAAGTTAAAATTTAAACTTGGCACATTGCACGCGACTTCCATGAGGTAGGACCTACATGCAACGGAACTGGTGCGTTTAAAGGCCTCCAGAGAAGATCCACTTCCACGAAAGCAGGTATCTACTGCCTGTGATGAAAGGTCAAGAGGAACGAGCGGAAGACAAACGGATGCGTTGAGACCATTAAAGCTGTTTACAGCCAGAAGTATGTCCTGGTGTAGAATTAAAATAAACTGGATGCACAGGAAAACCCCACACACAACAAGCCATTTGAGGCGGTGGGTCATCCAAAATCTGTCCGAAGCCGTTTAGCCCGCAGTTATACTAAAACAAAGGAAGAGGAAAATGAGCCAGTCATATCGTGCATATAATCGCACACATCAACTCCAAGTGGAAAAGCGCAACGCCTAATGTCTGACGATATGCAAAAAGTGATAAAAGTTGGACCAGATGAGTTGAAATCCTAACAAACTTGTGATCCTCGTGAGAGTTCACACTTTGCAGCTAGTCTTAACTGAAACTGCTCCCACCTATGTACCGGGATACAAGCAGAAAATTGATCCGTGAAATGCGACACTAATGGAGTCTATCAAACAGTCGAGCTAGTAAAATTCAATTAGAGTAACATCCTATGATGTCCAATTCAGTTCAGTCGAAAAACTATGTGGCGAGCTTGCCGAACAACCTACTCGTGATGTCGCTAGCTGGGTGGTTCGGGTTTCGCCTGTTCGAGCAAATGGTTCGACGGCAGTGTTTCAGGGTGTGATGAGCTTTCGCCTGGCAAGCGTTTTTTCTACATATGTCCGCATATGTCCACATATGTCCGTTTAACAACGCTGTGATGTTGCGGATGCAACTCGATACAAAATAATGTCAATGTCCCTTGTTTCACTCAAGCAGAGTATTGTATTGAGGTGACCTGATGCTGAAACTGTAGAGAGGATTGGTCTCCTGTCTGGCAACTGAGCAAACGGAAGGCGTATGAACTGAGCAATTGGTCACCAGCTCCCAATGCGGGCGATTCCCTGAAATTGCTCCCCTGCCAGGCGGGAACGCTACTCAGACAAAGGAACATTAGTGCCCCCTAAGTCAATACCCTCCCTCAAATTGGGTAACCGAGTAGTATCACATTCACTGACAAATCCATGAATTTTGCTGCGTTGTGTTCGGCTTGCTTTTTTTACAACAACCGCACCTTCCATTGATTTTCATGATTGTTGATACCTTCAAGTTTATTCGTAGACTATCGCAAATATATATATATATATATACGTCATTAATTTAAGACTTATGTCACCATCTCTATGCATTACTCCAGTTATTTCCTTTGTTATCTTTCTCTCAAGTGATTGGCTGTTGCTTGATATCCCCGGTGTGGCTGCGCTTGATGTGCATATTGACAAGGTGCCTACCTGTCAATTACCCACTACCTCATCCATACTTGCTCCTGGAGACAGCTGGTCGTTGCTGGAGGGGACGGCGTGCACGGTCCTTGTGACCGTGTTAGGATCAAAGAGTGGTTCCATTCACTCAGTGTATAGCGGACTACAGTCCAGCCAATGCCTTGTATGCGCTTGATTCCTAAATACAGAGTGCTTGTGTTTGCTTGTGCAGGAGTGTGAGCCGGCTCTGCTGATGAAACGTGGCTCCCACCCACATGCCTCTCGGTCTTATTCCTTCAGGTTTACACTGGATATGGGGTGTGTGATTGGAGATGTGAGTGGTGCAGCGCAAGACACCCATGGTCCTTCTGTAGGTGCAGGCGTCCTGTGGCTGGTCACAGTGGCAGGCAAATCCGAAACCGGATGCCGCCAACCATAGATATACGTGGGATCTCTGAAATTATGCTGAAATATGACATGAAAGTGGTTGAATATTGAATATGAACAGCGAAGCAGACCGAAAAACTACGTTATTTGGATATATGCAATTAAACGGAGCAAATTGCAAAATAGGTAAAAATACGTAAGCGTATATAGATAACGATTGGTTTAAATTAGCCTCTGAAAAAGTGAAAGGAATAATTGAAATGCAAGGGAAGCATAGATTTGTCCATTGACGAGCAGTATCCGGAGGTAGTAGATCACAAATGCATCTGGGAGCAATGATATGCCGGCCTGTCGGTATGCATATTGCCCGATAACAGTGCTTACGGAATAACGAATGAAAGTAATTATTTCCAGGATAGCCTGTTATGTAATGCATGCACGTATGGACGGATGTACAACTGCACGCAATCAAATATACACAATATACCAAATGCAGTATGTATATATGTGTATTTGGACGTGTTCTGCTGAGAAGGTAAGCAGAACGGGCGCAGCGTTGATAGGTACCCTGCATTTGATTTACTAGCCGCGTGCTTGAGTGCTGAATTTCTTTATTTCAAGTGGTGGGTTTCCTATCTTGTCTTAATGCTTATTTTTTCACCTCATTTTAACGTCTACGACGAAGGGTCCTGCTGAGAACGTAAGCAGAACTGGCGAAACTTTGGCAAGTACTGTGCATTGGATTTACTAACGGCGTGCTTGCACACTGAGTTTCTTTATTTCAAGTGATTGTTTGCTATATTCTGTAAGTCACTTAGTTTTCTGTTTGAATATGCTCCTTTTTACTTCACACGTCGCAAAGCATGTTGTGGTTACATTAGTTAGCTTTTTCACGTTTGTATCATATGTTAAAATATCATTTTCTGACATCTTAAACTTATCGCAGAATTATTGATAACCAATTTATGTCATATGCCCATTTAGCGAAGAGTTAAGTCGGTATATGAGTACGTTATATACGGTAACTATTATGTGATATTGTCGTTTCAAGTGATTGGCTGTTGTTTCACATCCCCGACGTGGCTGCGCTTGATGTGAAAGTTGACAATGTCCCTACCTGTCAAACTTCCCTAAGAGACTGTGAACTCTTGCTGGGTGGACAGGATGCACGGTTGCTGTGACCGTGCTAGGCTCGAAGAGTGGTTCCATGCACTCAGTGTGGAGCAAATTACGGTCCAGCCACCGTCTTATGTGGGCTTGGTTCCCCAAATACAGCGTGCCTGTGCTTGCCTGTGAAGAAGTGTGGGTCGGCTCCATTGATGAAACGTGGCTCCCATCCGCATGTCCCCCGGTCTTATTCCACCGGGTTTACCCTGGATATGAGGTATGTGGATGGAGCTATGGGTGGTGCAGTCCATATTAATAATAACAATAATAATAATCATTAAATAATAATAATAATAATAATAACGGGTCAGCTGTACGCCGTAACGACGCTTCGCTGCCGCGCGAATATCACCAGTCGCGCGCGGCCTGAGTATGCCGCAAAGACGCCCACCCATACGCGGATTCGAACCGGTGATCTTATGGTTGCAAAGCAAACGTGCAGACCACTCGGCCACCGGCCGACGTTGCAGTTCAAGCCACCCATGGTCACTCTGTAGGCGCAAGCATCCTGTGGCTGTCCTATGGAGGCTACAGTCACAGACAAATCCGGCATCCGATACCGCCAACCAAATGTACAAATACATGGGATATAAAAGGTGTACAGTGATAAAAAAGGAAAACACGCACACTAGTCACTTTATTTATTATACAAAAAATGAGTGTTGCATAAACATGTAGTAAGAAGACTTAATCCCGCATGTACTCGAGTGGATTGACGTCAGCGTTCACACACTCCTGTAATCGAGAACGAACACTCCTGGACACTCTAGAACATATGTCTTTATCAGCATCAATTTCCTGACAAGCCTCTAAAATGAAGTGAATCATGTTCACAACAACGCAAGGCTTGCGTGCAGAAACCTTATCCTTTACAGTCCCCCCCCCAAAAAATAGAAATCCATAGGAGTTAAATCTAGCGAGCGTTGCGCCTAGTCGATGGTACCACGACGTCCATTCCAGCTATTGGGAAACGTTAAGTGAATTAATGCACGCACAATGAGTTCAAAATGAAGTGGGGCCCCATCCTTCTGAAGATAGAAGACCTCATCTTGGTATTGTTCAAGTACCCGGAGTACATACATTTTTAGAAAAGAAATGACTAAAACTACGTCAATAATTTCACTGATGTTACACTACTGTATACCTACTTTTGCACCACCCCCTGTATATGAGCAGAGCACCAAAGAACGGTGCCTCCAGTTGCCACGACTCATGTCGCAAAAATAACAATAGATAACAACGGCAAGTTAGTGAGGTTGAATGCAAACAGAATGTAAAGAAGTGAGAAGAAGACGCGAATTAGACCAATCAGGATGGAACGAGAGTTAACAACTCATTAGCATCAATACACATTATGTGAAGGTGAGAAACACACTTCAACTATCGTGCCGCAATATACAAGGACAAGACATAAGAAAAAACAGTATACTAAACACTATTGAATGTAAAAAACAGGCAACTCACTGAATAGTAACATATCATGCTTCAAGATGGAAATTGTGGTCGGGAGAAGATAAGCTGGATGGGGAGGCAAAGAAACTCACAACACAAACGCCGTTGAGGTCGGCTCTTCGCCATGTCAACTAGTGTTCATCGTCCTTCGGACCCCAGCCTGGCAGTCGGTATACACCAACTGATGCCAACTTCGAAGTGAGGGACTTCAGTCCTCTTGACAAATTCTTCCCTTGGCCTACCCTACTCTTCTTCCATCCATATCTCGGCGCGCCAAAAACGCACGTCGCGATAGTCGGTGGGCTGGTATGCGCAACACGTGGCCCAGCCATCGGAGCCTGGCGTGTGAAATGTCGGTACAGAGCGGTTCACTCACTTCTTCTGCACCAAATACAAGACGCTGAACACACTCATTGTTCACGCGGTGATCCCATCAGACATGAGCTAAGCTGCAAAGGCAGCGATGGTCGAACGTAACTAAATGCAAGAAACCAAAGACAGGAATGCCACTGGATGTGCCATGTCTTAAACGGTATTCAATCATTGGTGTGGACCATCGCGAGGTCTGCAGTGGATATCATTGCTTCATATTATTCCTTCTCGTGATTAATTTTAGCACATATTTTGTACATTTGGTTTGAAATGACGCTGCTTCTAGTTTGCTTGAAAGCCGGATATTTACCGTGGAATTTCGTCGCAACGAGACTGGACTTTAACGTGGTGCGACGGTTTGCGTACCTCATTGACCCATTGAACTATACTGGGTGGTGTTTCCGGGCGCCTCGACAGCTACCCCTACCAGGTTGGGGGTTTGAAATGAGATGGCGTCCATTTCTGTAAAACTAAATCATTGCTACCTCTTCGCTGCCTTGCGGACAGGCATTTGAGGCAAAGTCTTTGGATGAGGATCTTAATCGTCTTCCTGTCTAGGTCTGGGCGCCCTGGCAGTATATCAGTCCACATACAACCATGAGCTTTTCTTCAAACAAACTCCATCCTGCGTCGGCCATCGTGCAGATTATCAAGTGTCGCCTTATCTGCTGCATACAGCAGGGCGGATAAGCGCAAACATGCTACTGCTGGCGCCTCATTTCTTTTCCAGCTGTTTCTCTTACTCCCATCCGGACCCCCATTACTAACCTTCCTTCAATAATTCCCAGC